CCAGTGATTCCTGTTGATCCTGGAATTGAAAGAACCACTAGAAGACTTAACAGAGAAAGAAGACAAAGAGAGGCTACAGTTGAACCAGAGGCCATAGTTGTTTGAGATGGACGAAAATATAACACTAAGGGAATTCTCATTTCATAGTTGAGGCAAGTGGGTCGAGCATAACTAGACCAGCGATACAAGCCAACAACTTTGAGATAAGCGGCAATCATCCAGATGATCCAGCAGTCGGTACAATTTAAAAGATATTTGAAGGAAGATCCAAATCTACACATTGCCAATTTTTTGGAGATTTGTGATACTTTCAAGTCAAACGGAGTGTCAGATGACGCCATCAGATTGAGACTGTTCCCGTTTTCATTGAGGGATAAAGCTAAGGGATGGTTAATGGCATTACCATCAGGAACAATTACAACATGGAACGATTTAGCACAAAAGTTCCTGACCAAATTCTTTCCTCCAGCAAAATCGACAAAGCTGAGAAATGATATCACATCGTTTCTACAGGAAGAGTCGGAATCATTATATGAGGCTTGGGAGAGATACAAAGAATTACTGAGGAGGTGTCCACATCATGGGTTGCCAGTTTGGATGCAAGTCCAAACGTTTTATAACGGATTGATGGTTAATGTGCAAACTATGGTGGATGCAGCCTCGGGAGGAGCACTGCAAAATAAGACACCAGAAGAAGCTCATGAGTTGCTTGAAGTTCTAGCAAGTAACAACTATCAAAGACCTAATGAAAAGGTGCAACCGAAGAAATCTATGGGTCTTCATGAAGTTGATGCATATACAACCATTTCAGCCCAACTCACAGCACTTCAGAAATAGTTGGTGTAACGCCCCACTTGAGGTACGTAGTTACTGTTCTTTCGGTTGCTCTTAGTTGAGATGGTATCGTGGTATTATTGTTTGATTAACATTAGTACGAGTGTTGTGTTGAATATTTGCCTTGAAATTGGTTGAAAAGACAGAAAAAGTTCAGTCTGCCGTACTTTGCCGGGGCGAAGAAGAATCTTCGCCGCGGCGAAGAAGTGTGGAGGCCAAGGGAAACTTTCTGGAAAGTTTCGCCGCGGCGACAGAAGGTTCTTCGCCGCGGCGACAGTCCGACCAAAATGTTTACTAAGTTTTAGATATTCTCTTCACTAAGGGCTTTTGGACCATTCTACCCCTAATTAGTAGGAAGAGTGGGGAGTAAATTGTAAGGAATTTTCAAGGAGAACATGTTAGTATGGGGGTGTGTTGGTAAGGAATCAAAGGATATGGATGGAATTTCCATAAAAGAGAAAGGGCAAATGGGAAGAATGAGTTTTAAGAGGTATTAAAAAGGGTTTAGTCTTTGAATGTTCTTCATTTTTCCAGTTCCACCGCCTCCTTCATTCTTCTAAACTCTCTCAAATTTCCTTCAATCTTTCAAGGATTTCCAAGAGCCTTTTTGAGAAACTTTTAGTGGGGTTTTAACCTAAAGCTTCCTAAGGTAAGGATTTGTACTTTAGATGGGAGTTTTCTTATGTTTTGATTAGAATCTCATGTTGTGATTGTTGGTTAAGTTGTAGAGGAAAAGCAAGCTTCCAAAGGAAAGGAGAAGTGTTAAAGAAGCCAATTTCTCATAAGGTAAGTAAACTCAACCTAAGTTGAGATTTAAGAACTCCTTTGAGTGGATTGAAATACATATGTGTTTTCTTTAAATTGTTGAATGAGAGAAGTAATTATGTTTGAGTTATGAGTTATGAGAAGTGTGGTATTTGCTTGATGTTGGGTTGAGTTTGATTGGAGTTGGAGGAGGTTTTGAGCAAGATTATGGAAGTGTTTCTCTTTTGACAGGGAATTTAGGGTTTATAAGGGAGTTTTCTCCCATTTGGTTGATTAAAGAAAATAGAAAAGTTAGAATGAGAGTAGAGTTATTCATGCACATGAGTTGTATGATGAAATGCTCAAGAGAACCATGAATAAGGGTAGAAAGCCTTAATTGTTGCTACATGTCATAGTTATTTTTCATAATTCATTAATGAGTATGAGTCATTGATGTGCATTAATTATGCTTTACTTATGCATTAGAAAAGAGAGTAGAGAAAGAGTAGAGACTTATGAGTTTAGACTACTCTAAGAGTAGAAAGAAAAAGAGAATGAGCACTATAGAGTAAAGCTAGAGTAGTGCTTAATAAGAGAATAGAGTAGGTTGTGCGATGGGGAACCTGTGAGTACGGGTAGAGTATTCCCGCATGTACGCCGCATCGATAAAGCGGCCAGAATATCAGAATGAAAAGTGGTGTAGCCCGTAGTGTACATGCGGATGAGGGCTATACCCAAGTTTACCCGAGAGATTCTATGCACTCACATGGCCAAGGGTTCCAAATCCATGCATAACCAAGTCCGATCGGCTAGAACAAGTAGAAGTCACCGGGAGTGGGAACGAGTCCCAGCCGTGCCTCCGGTCAGATGGGGCCGTGACTTACTAGAAAGAAAATTAGTATAGAGGAGCTATGAGAAAGAATAATTAGACAGTGAGAAAAGAAAGGGTTACGGGAATAATTTGAGTTTAGGGGTTTACTTACTGAGCCTTGTTTGTGCTCACCCAGTTGTTCCCTATGTTTTTGCAGGTACTAGATGAGGGACACAGTTGGATGGACATCGGTACACGAAGAGAAATGGCTACACTGTCCACCCTTTTTGATAGTTTTGCATATGTCACAAACCTTGTATATATTTGTATAAAGAATGCATATGTTTAATGAAAGAAAATTTTGGGCCCAGCTTTTTATATTATGGTTACGTGTATTTTCACTATGCATGTTTTTATAAGAATCGAGTCCTTACAGTTGGGAAGTATGCATGTAAATTCTATTCAAGCTCCTTAACTAATTTGTGAATTTTGTGCAGGTGGTCATGTGAGCAATAAATGCCAAGTGGGGAACACATTTGCTTCAGTGTCTTCATCATCAGAGCAGGTTAACTACTTGGCAGGAAATCAAAGGCAACTGAACAACTCGTACTCCGACACATATAATCCTGGTTGAAGGAATCATCTGAACCTGTCTTAGGGCAATCAGAACCAACAGAATCAGTAAAACAATCAATGAACCAAAGAACATTGCCAAACAACCAAGCAGGGGTGAACAATCAACCAGAAGAGAAAAGAGTGACAAAATTGGAGGACATGTTTGGAAAGTTTATGCAAGAGACCACAGGTTTTATGAATGAGACGAGGACGAATTTTAGAAATCAAGAGTTCGGAACTTAGAGGTACAAGTGGGTCAATTGGCTAATAAGTTAAATGAGAGACCATAAGGGTCCCTACCGAGCAACATAGTGACTAACCCACGTGAGCAAGCAAATGCAATAACTCTGAGAAGTGGGACAGTGTTAGAAGAAGTAGAACAATCAGGGAAATAGGGAAGCCCACCAAAAGAAAAGGAAGATTCTGATGAGGAAGTTGATGAAGAGATAGTTGCTGAAGAGAAACCAACCAGTTCTAGGGTTGATGAACAAAAGCGGGAAGAAAGGCAAAGACAAAAGAAAGAGAAATTGCCATTTCCTGAGATACCACTAGAGTTGGCACATCACACTCCTCCCGTGCCTTTTCCTCAGAGACTCAAGAAAAAGAATCAAGATAAGCAGTTTTCCAAATTTATTGAAATATTTAAAAAATTTCATATTAACATTCCTTTTGCAAATGCATTGTAACAGATGCTGAGCTATGCGAAATTTCTTAAGGAGATTTTATCAAACAAAAGGAAGTTAGAAGATGAGGAAACAGTGATGCTCACGGAGGAGTGCAGTGCCATTTTCCAGAGGAAGCTACCCCCGAAACTTAAAGATCCAGAGAGTTTTACTATTCCTTGCATTATACGAGACATTATCGAGTTTTGTGTGATTTAGGTGCAAGCATTAATCTGATGCCTTTTTTTGTTTTTAAAAGATTGGGAATTGGTGAAGTGAAGCCAACGACCATGTCGTTGCAACTTGCAGATAGATCCATCAAACATCCGAGGGGTATAGTCGAAGATGTGTTGGTGAAAGTGGACAAGATTATCTTTCCAACAGACTTTGTTGTTTTGGACATGGAAAAGGATAAGAAATGCCTCTCATTTTGGGAAGACCATTTCTGGCCACTGGGAGAGCTCTCATTGATTTGCAAGAAGGAAAGTTACTGTTAAGAGTTCAAGATGAAATAGTAACGTTCAATGTGTTTGAAGCTATGAAGTTTCCATCCGAGTCGGATTCGTGCTTTAGTGTTGATGTGGTGGATAAACTAGTAGCAGAGGCTATTGAAGAGAACACTCCACAACTACCTCTAGAAGCTTGTATTGTCCAATAAAAAACAATAGATGTAGATGAGTTGGCAAAGAATGAATGTGCTAGATTGTTGGAAGCACTTCAGCCGATTGATGAGAGGCAAGATGTAGAATTTGAGGAATTTGATTTTGAGAAGGAGAAGGAAAATGAAAGAAATGAAGAACCTCTGAAGCTTGAACTGAAACCTTTGCCTTCCCACCTCAAATATGTGTATCTTGGTGAAGCAAAAACCTTCCCAGTAATCATCAGTTCAAGGTTGAGCAAATTGGAAGAAGAGCGGTTGATTTGGGTATTAAGAGAACATATATCAGAAATTGGATGGACTATTTTAGATATTAGAGGCATCTCTCCGTCGTTTTGTATGCATAAGATACTTATGGAAGATGATGTCAAGCCTAGGGTGCAACCCCAACGGAGATTGAATCCTTCGATGAAGGAAGTGGTGAGAAAAATAGTGGTGAAACTTTTAGATGCGGGCATAATTTATCCTATTTCTGATAGTCCATGGGTGAACCCGGTGCAAGTGGTTCCGAAGAAAGGAGGTATCACAGTGATAAAGAATGAAAGCAATAAATTGATACCAACTAGGACAGTCACGGGCTAGAGAGTATGCATTGACTATCGAAAATTAAATGAAGCGACAAGGAACGATTATTTCGCACTTCCTTTCATTGATCAGATGTTGGAGAGATTGGCAGGGCATGCTTACTACTATTTCCTGGATGGTTGTTTAGGATATAATCAGATTGCCATTATTCATGAGGATCAAGAGAGAACGACATTCACGTGTCCTTATGGAACCTTTGCTTACTGAAGGATGCCCTTTGGGTTATGCGATGCACCAGCCACATTTCAGAGATGCATGATGTCTATCTTTGGTGATATGGTGGAACGGTTTTTAGAAATCTTCATGGATGACTTCTCTATTTTTGATTCATCTTTTGACAATTGCTTATCTAATCTTTCTTTTGTTTTGCAGCGATGTCAGGAGATGAACTTGGTACTCAACTGGGAGAAGTGTCACTTCATGGTCCAAGAAGGAATAGTGCTTGGTTATAGAATTTCAAGGGATGGCATAGAAGTGGATCGAGCAAAAATAGAAGTGATTGAAAAGCTACCACCACCCTCAAATGTTAAAGCAGTTTGGAGTTTCTTGGGGCATGCAAGCCTTTCAAACTCTAAAAAAATTATTAGTGTCTGCACCTATTATTGCAGTTCCCAATTGGGGACTGCCATTTGAATTAATGTGTGATGCTAGTGATTTTGCACTAGGAGTAGTGTTAGGACAGAGGAAAAACAAAGTGTTGCATGTAATTCAGTATGCTAGCAAAACACTCACTGGTGCACAATTGAATTACACCACCACTGAAAAAATTGTTGGCTGTGGTTTTTGCTTTTGACAAATTTCGTTCATATTTGCTAGGTGCTAAGGTGATCGTCTACACGGACCATTCAGCACTCAAGCACCTATTGGCAAAGCAAGAAGAGAAACCTCGGCTGATAAGATGTATCTTATTGCTACAAGAGTTTGAGTTGGAGATACGAGATAAGAAGGGGTCAAAAAATTTGGTGGTGGACCATTTGTCAGGGATTGAACGACCAATTCAAGGAAATGAAGAGGAAACCCAAATCAGAGAAACTTTCCCGGATGAGAAATTGATGAGAGTGGAGGAAGCACCATGGTATGCAGATTTTGCAAACTACTTGTCATCGAGAGTGCTCACAATTGGCATGACCTTCCAACAAAAGAGGAAGTTTTTCTCAGACATGAAATATTAATTCTGGGAAGAGCCATTTCTATATCGACACTACGCTGATCAGATGATACGTAGGTGTGTACCAGAAGAGGAAATAGAGAGCATTCTACGGCATTGCCATGAGAGAGAAGTGGGTAGTCATTTTGGAGGAGCTAGGACAGCAGCCAAGGTTCTTCAATCTAGGTTTTATTGGCCAACCCTTTTCAAGGATTCTTTCCAGATGGTTCAGGAATGCGACCAATGTCAACGGAGTGGAAATATTTCAAAGAGAGATGAAATGTCGTTGAACAATATCCTAGTAGTTGAGCTGTTTGATGTGTGGGGAATTGACTTCATGGGTCCTTTCCCAAATTCTTTTGGGAACACATACATTTTGGTAGCGGTGGATTACGTATCAAAATGGGTGGCAGCAGTCGCATTGTCATCCAATGATGCCAAGGTGGTGGTTAATTTTGTGAGAAATAACATTTTCTCAAGATTCGGAGTACCACTGGCAATCATCAGTGATGGAGGATCGCATTTTTGCAACAGGCAATTAGATGCACTGTTGGGAAAATATGGAGTGAAACATAGAGTTGCAACATCATACCATCCACAGACTAGCAGGCAAGTGGAACTGTCAAACAGAGAACTTAAGGGCATTTTAGAGAAGACAATTAATGCATCTAGAAATGATTGGTCGAGAAAATTGGATGATGCATTATGGGCCTATCGCACAGCATTTAAGACTCCTATTGGTATGTCTCCATTTAGGATGGTCTATGGGAAGGCATGTCACTTGCCGGTAGAACTCGAGCATAAGGCATACTGGGCAGTTAAGCAGCTCAACATGGATTTAAGAGTTGCTGGGGAAGAAAGGATGCTGACTTTGAATGAACTCGATGAGTTCCGTCACGAAGCATATGAGAATGCTCAGATTTACAAAGAAAAGACAAAAAGGTGGCATGACAAGCATATCCGGAAGAAGAACTTTGAAGTGGGTCAGAAAGTGTTGTTGTATAATTCTAAACTTAGGCTATTCCCTGGAAAACTTAAGTCTAGATGGTCCAGACCCTTCATAGTTACAAGAGTTTACCCGTTCGGAGCGGTGGAGGTGTCACATGAAGAAAATGGCACATTTAAAGTCAATGGACAGAGGTTGAAGCCATATATTGATGGGGTGATGAGTTGCAAGTCATTCCCCATCCAACTTGACATCCCAACTTGAGGAATTGAGAAAGTCGAGCTTCTGACTATAAACAAGCGCTTCTTGGGAGGCAACCCAAGTGTTTTCAATTGTTTGATATTTGTTCTTGTTTGAAATTGTTTAGTTTTCGTATGATTTTGAATGATTTTGATTTTGTGTGTTTTTCGGTGTTTTGAGTGAATTTTCAAACTAAGGCGAAAAGGGAAAATATTTCAGTTTTCGCTGTGGCGAAGCACATATTGCACAAAACGGAAGTTGAAAAGTCCCAGACTTCGTCGCGGCGAAAATTGTTCTTTGCCAAGGCACCATTTTCTCTAGAATTTTTCACCGCAGCAGAAAGAGTTGAGCGAGTTTTAACCAAGGAAACTTGATGTGTTGTAACTACAACATGCATAAATAGCAAGTGCACTAGTCGCACAAAGTAATAAAGTGAAAAGTAGAGTATCGTTCCCACGAGAATAGTATTACTAAGTACCGATTTCCCTAGTTTATGTCCTAATTAAAGCAACAATAAATTGGATTGATGGAAAATTAACAACTAAATACAAATTAACAAAATATAAATGAATGATAATGAAATTAAAGCAAAACCGAACAACTTAACTAATTAAACAATGCTAAAAAATGCTAGGGTGTTGATTTCACCTAGATACGCTAACCCAATTCATAGAATCTATTACCCAAGTTCTAATTCCTTGATTGAAAATCGAATTCCCTAAGTTGTAAAACATACCTTCTCAGGCTACATCCTATTAAGCTTCCGCACCCAACAAAATGAAGATTAATAGTTCAAAGTCTTTTAAGCTTTATGGAATTCTATCTAGATTTCATAGATCGCTAAACCTACCTCTAGCGTTTGCTTAATCTACGGTATTTATCCCAGGAAGCACAATCACAAATCACTTCTCAGTCTCATTGTGAACAACACACATTTGAATGGTGATGAAGCATTCAAAATTCATTAAGCAAAGAGATAACCACTGAATCATGAAATTAAAACTCAAAGTAAATCAATTCATATAAAATTGAATCATTGTATCAAGGTTACATCAAACCCTAGCTAAACAACTCAGTTCATACTCAAAAAGGAAATAAAACAACAAAAACAAACTGAATCAAGATTCATCATTGAAAAACAAGCAAAAGATGGAGAAATCTTCTCTAATTTGAAGCCCAAATCTTCAATAATCTTCTCCTTCCATGAGCTGCCTCCCAAATGACGAACCAAGCTTTTTTTCTCTTCCTTTTCACTCTAATTTATACCTCTCTCACTTAAGGATGAAGCCCTAGCAAGCCAAAACGCGTCGTTTTATTTTTACATCTGATGCAGGTTTCGCCACGGCGAAGATTTTTCCTTGCCGCGGCGAAGCCTTTCTGTCCAAATTTGAGCATTATAGAGTCTGAATCTGGAAACGTGTTAAACATATGAATTGTAGCTCTTTCAATTATATTTCTTTTAGTTTAATAATCTGCACAATAAGAGGTCTACAACTCAAGTTATGGTAGAAATACTAAAGCACGTCCAAAGACATTTTTCTTCAGTTCCCAGTGTACTTTTCACGACTTCAAGCCAAGTTTTCACCCTTGTTCGGTCAGAATTAGGAAAAACCCAAAATGAAAGTTGTAGATCTTCTTCTTATCTTTCCAAATCTTCTAAATTCAGGTCATTCCGAGTTTCCAAGCTCAAGTTACACAATTTATGCTCAAAACTTTCATTTATGTTTAAAATTATCGTTTAGGCCTGCAAAGACAAATTAATAGAATTAGGTAGCAATTATGGCCCAACTTGTATGAAAAGTATCCTAAATCCTATCAAAATTCAATGCAAAATCATAATGTAAAATATGATTATCAGTGAACATGCACATGCGGCCGTAGAGCTGATAGTGAGAGAGTTTGTGTGATCTTGATTATGTGTTTGTGAGGGGTACTAATGTGGCATTCGATGCGAAGGTCATCAATGAATTTTACAACTTGCCTCACATTGACTGTAATGAGTATGAGGAATTTAGGAAGACACAATTTAAGGATGAGGTGATCCTTCAGGCTATAGCAAAATCGGATACCCCTTGGCAGATTTCGAAGAAGGGCAGGAAAAGCATTAAGGGAACTAATTTGACATCGGTGGCTCGGTTGTGGCAGTACTTTATTTGTGCGAGGATGATGCCGGAGACGCACTATAGTACAGTGACTTATGAGAAGGCATTATTGCTCTATTCTATTGCCATAGGAAAGAGAATGGATGTGGGAAACATTATCCTGACTAACATTCAGCATGCAACCAAACGAGGGCGAGGGAGTTTCCCTTTCCCACATCTCATTACAGAGTTGTGCACTTGAGCAGGAGTCAAGGCAACTGATGATGAGCCACTTATCCATCTTGCCCCAGTTCTTGACACGGCCTACTATCACAAGCATCTTGAAAGTCCAGCCGGTGAAGTGCCCAGATCCGGAACCAAAAGAAGAAGAACCACAACAGTTGCAACCTCATCTAGTTCAACAGCCACAATGAAAGAGTTGCTACAGAAGATGATAGGTAAGATGAAGCGGATGGAGCGATGTCAAGTTGGCTGGCAGAGTAGACCAGGATGATTTATAATCTGTAACAGAGCTGTTGCAACAAGCTTAACATTGATACTTCGGAATTCCAATGGGAAGACTGGGATTCAGATGAATGGATGGGCTTCGACTCAGAAGAGGAGGATACCAAGGGAAAGGAGGAGGCCGACGATACCGAGGGAAAGGAGGAGGCCGAAGAATGAACCTGAACACCTATTTTTGTATTTTATTTTCCTTGTTTTAGTTGTTTTTGTATTTAATTTCGAACATTGAACTAAATTGTTTTTTGTTTTGGATGGTTTAAATTTTGTTTTTAATTTCCTAGTAGTTGTAAATGCGAGATTAGGATTGTAATATTTTCATATTAGTCAGTGAACTTTTCTAACACAGTGGACACCACAGTATTTCAACTGATTTTACAGATTGTGGTGATGGGAAAGCCAAGGACCAGGTGTGCATGCTGTTAAGCGAAACTTCAACTTCACGGATTAATCAGGGAACTATCTCGTACCTTTGTAGATTTTGTTTTTCTATTCCTAATTCGTGCATAATGTGACATTGGGGACAATGTCATCTTTAGTTTGGGGTAGGAGAAATTTGAGAAATTTTTTATTTTTGTTTAGTTAATTTCGTGTTTTGTTGTGTTTGCCAATGATGAATTACATAAGTCTATGATGAGAATAGGATTGTTGGGATTTTATTGTTGAAAAATGTTAAGCATTGTTTCAATTTTTTGTTGATTGACTGAATTTAGCTTGAGGTTTGTTGAGTGGTTCAACCACCATTTTCATTATTTCGGCATGCTTAGAAACATTT